AATCTCTTCTAATGAAATTTTTGAGGTAGGCTCAATTTGATTGTTTGGCACCTCAGCTCTATATAAACTTTCCCATACTTATTTTTACATTTTCCTATCTTTTTTTTGAAAAAATTCAAAAATACCCCTATATACAAATCGATTTTTTGTAATCCATTTTTTGCACTAATTTTCAATTTCATTTGGATATATTTTGTTTAATCATGTTTTAACTATACTTTTCATATTATTTTATAATTTTTTTGTATTTTTTTAGTTTTTTAAGCACTTTATTTACATAATTTTTTTAAGCACGTTTTTTACCACCCCAGACTTGCCTGGTTAGGATGGTTTACCGGTTACAACCATCCCGTGGCTGGTTTCCGAGGCCAGTTGGATTTTTCAAACACTGGTATAAACTAGTGGTCAAAGAGTCTCAAAATTGAAGAGAATCTTACAATGCCTTGAGAGCTGAAAATAATCTAAGGATTATTAGAACGCTTTCACTTGGACTTGTATACCAGATTCTCTTCCCTAGTCCAACATTGGCTAACTTCAAAGCAGTGATCAAGAACTGAATTTCAGATAAAAAAAACATGCACAGTTAAGCCCACTAGTTTTGTAAATGAAAAGAAATTCATGAGGCGAAGTCTGGCTTGACCCAACATTGATGGGTGGTATGAACTAGACGGTCACTAGATCTACCTCCTCCCAGGTTGTGTCGCGGTCTAGGTCTAGGTCGAGGTCAATCCCACTGGGACCTCACCAATCTACAACCCTACTTAATGGATGTCCATTAAAAATGTAAATACCACAATGAGCTCATCATGCTTAATACTTGATTTCTTTTTCAATCTGAAAGGTATTAAAAATCCAAATGACACCATGAATTCATACCCCCTATTAAGTCTTAATTTTAGATATAGCTCCTCAAGAGACATCCAAAAATCAACCTGTGGTTTAGAGACAGGACCATCTACAAGACGATTTCTCCGTTTGATTTGACTTCCAATTTAAGCATAGATCAATTACTATTCTTCATGAATGGCTTTCCAAAACACAACAATTAACCATAAGAATTAAAACAGCAAAACAAATTCATGGCACCACTTGAGACTTCAATTTTTATTTTTATTTTAATTCTAAAAGATATTGCTTCCCAAGAACAACCAAAAATCAATCTATAGCTTGGCCATACATGGCATCTAGTGTGTTGCATGTACAGATCATAAATTCATGAAGAAACTTGATCTTCAACTTTCCAATTTCAAAAGGAAAGGAAAGGAAAAATAATGCTCCATGTCCACCTCTTTACAAGTACTGCCCTCAACATTAATCCATTATTAACTTCACCAAAAAAAAGTCCCAGCTGGTGAATTTTTGACATCTAGGGAATTTATGGATACAAGATGATATTTCTTTCTCCATTTCCTTCAAATTCTTTATATGTTTAGGCCTCAACAGAGTTCGAGATCACCCATCTAAGTAGCATGTCCAAACCCACTGAACTTTTAAAGTGTCAGTGGATTTAGAGCATTTACCTTGGTGAATGATGGATGATCCTTGCATCTAATCGTACTATACGCTCTTGGATAAATTGATATATCCATCAGGATCCCACCAAACCCTATTTTTCTTTCCCAAAAAGTAAAAAACAGTATGTAATTGCAGGATTCAGATTAATATGCACCTGCATGGTGAGAGCTAGGGATGCCCTTGAGCACATCTCTAAGAGCATAGTAATGGTTATCGCATCTATGGTCAGAAATCAAGCTGCTGGAAAGGATTATCCTATCAAAATGTTCACCAGGGAGTGCCTTCCAAAGTGTGTAAGATTCCTTCCCTTTGCCATTGCCAGAACCAACATCCACCTGTAACCATATATGCGCATGTATCAGAGAGAGAAACCATACATGCATGAATAGTTGAGATTCATGAAGGGCCCGGGGGGGGAGGAAGAGAGAAACCATGTATGCATGCATGAGACATGTGCAATAGAGAGATAGAAAGAATGTGTGTATGTGAGACAAAGAGAGAGATGTATGTGCATTAAGAGAGAAACTCTTATATGCATGTGTGTATGAGATGTATGTGCCGGAGAGAGAGAGAGAGAGAGAGAGCACCTTCCTTCTCACGTGATACAGGGTACCGGGAGCAAACAGTTCAGCATGTGCTGCTCCTTGGGATTTAAGAGTGAGGTGAGGTGAGGGAAGTGGTTCTCGAGGAGTATTCAAGCTATCAGCAGGCTCTATGTCCATTGCGAGGATGTCTGCACCTTGAAGCAAATTGGGAGCAGGTGCATGAAGACAATTGAGAAAAAATTATGAAAAACGTTTTGGTTTGACACATTCACGAAAACACGTTCAAGTTCTATGTACATACTACAAAATGTCAAGGCCTGTTTGGACCGCAGAACAATATCCAACAAGGGGGCCACTTATTTAGAAATGAGTTAAGCACTTTAAATAATTTCTTCTTTCTCAGAACTGAGGGCATTTTCGCAATGATATCTTTAGCCAAAGCAAAAAGTAAAAAAATAATATATTTTTTCAGTGTTTGCATGCTAAGAGGGATCGAGAAAGTCCACCACCTGCAAAAAATGGAGTGGACCAAGCTAGGTCCTTTCTCACTCCTAAATGGATGGAGGAAAAAAAAAATTGAAAATTTGGTCCATCCAAACAGGACCCCCTACATTTCTTAAGAGTAAATTGGAACTACAACATTGCAAAAAGGAGATAGAAAAACCCATGTCCAGCAAGGTAAAAATATCTAATGAGTAGCATGACATACACCATGCCTCATTTTCATCCTCATTTTTTTATCCACGAATAATAATTCAAGTCCCTATTTCCCTATTATTCAAAATTCTTTTAAGAATATGGATTGAACAGAGCCCAGTTTTTATGCCAGGACAAAACAAATATTAAAGCCATACTTAAAAAATGACAGGTTCCAATTTTGGATCAAATGAATTGTTCTTACAGAATACAAAGTGATTTTACTAAAATTATTCTCAGATCGATGCTAAAAAGTACAACCGAACAAATTATATAATAAATCACCCATTAAATCATAAGAAATGTGAATGAAAATTTACAGTGAAAACACATAAGATACAACAAAAAAGATAATAATAGCCGGCTTAAAAAAATGACAAGTTACAATTTTGAATCAAATGAATTGTTCTTACAGAATACAAAGTGATTTTACTAAAATTATTCTCAGGTCGATGCTAAAAAGTAAAACCGAACAAATTATATAATAAATCACCCATTAAATCATAAGAAATGTGAACGAAAATTTACAGTGAAAACACATAAGATACAACAAAAAAGATAATAATAGCCGAAAACAGAAGAATATTTGACATACATAATGTACGGCTACAACCAAAGATACTTCCCACTTTTCAAAAAATGGTAGACCTTCATAACTGATCCAGAAATCAGCAGAATAAACCTTCCAAGATTTGCATTTTTGCAAAATATCACTTTCAGTTAATTAGTAGCCTATTTATTTTGATTGACTATGTACAATTGTGGTACTTAGAGGAAGTGATTACGGAAAGAGACTAAATACCTGAAGAGCTTCTCTTTTTACTGAAAGTTGCATATTCAGCGCATTTCCGAGCTACATCTTGTACAGATGACACAACTTGCTTGGCATTTGTTACTAGATCCACCACACTTCTCCAATCTTCCTTCTCTAAGATAGTCATCCTGAAAAGGACACACTTAGAACAATCTTGAATATTAACAATCATATGAGACATGTATAATTTATAATAAACATATTCATATTCTGAACAGATCCCACCTGAGTACGCAAACATATTAGTCGATGTGCAATCATTGGTTGTTCACTCTGATAGTATCATAGATCGAGGATCAATGCATGATGGATGGCAATCGAGGAAAAGGAAACCACAATCGAGATAATGTCCTGCTCTGGTAGGTCCACTCATCCATCACCATTCATCATTTCAAATTTTCAATGGACCATGATGTCCCCATAAAGTATCTTTTCTCAATAGTTTACTGATCTATAGTTTGCTTTTTTCATTCAATTGATAATTGCACGTGCCAGAGGGTGTTCCCTAACTCATATATAGACAAGTGGCAGGTTTGGTGATGAGATTAATTCATTAATTTCACAAACTATCATCTTACCCTCCAAGTCTATGTGGGAGACCTAACAAAGGAACTTTTAAGGGAAATATCAGGACAGCACCCCAAACACCTGCATAGATCATTAAGGTGGTCCAGGAAGTAGAAAACAGGGTAAAATATTAGACAAGCATGAATTAACCTGAGTGAAATAGTCATTTGAAAAAAAATCACATACCTTGGAATTGATCCCATGTTTCAAGGTTCTGGACTACCTGCTTGAATACTTCTGGCCATTCTGGGTGTTGACTTCCTATTCTAACCCCTATTTTCGCACTGATTCTAAAATAGAACAACTTTGAATACTAGGTAAATTAGGGGCTCAACAGCCATTAAGCTCTAACCTATCAGAGAAGTGCTTGCGTATCAAACAGTCAAGATTCCTATCCTAGCTTCATTTGATCAGCAATGTCAGGCCTGGTGAATACTAGGTAAATCAGGGGCTCAATAGATATTAAGCTCTAACCTATCAGAGAAGTGCTAGACTGCTAGTGTATCAAATAGTCAAGATTCCTATCCTAGCTTCATTTGATCAACGATGTCAGGCCTGGTGACATGTTTAAGGATTTAAGCCATCAACATGGAGGCTTCACTTCATACTCTTGTAGACACCCTGATCCCGATCAAGAAAACTGTAGGAAAACCAAGTACCCCTGGATCAGCCACCTTAAAACCTGAACCACCCAGAACCCCAAGAACTGTACCACCCATCGGAGTCTGTCATAAGGACCCGACCCTGAATTCGTAACTTTGGAAGACACTCTGACAAGCCAGAAATGGCCCCAAGACTAGAAGAAATCTGAAGTAGACAGTCCAGAATCAAAGAAGACCCAGTCTGGGAGCAACTACAACAGAAGCCGCGCCAACGCTAGGGTTGTTGTCGTTGGGATCTCCTGGCTACAGTATAAGTGTCGTCAACAATACTCACAATATCATTACATAGGTGCTGGCTCGAATCGGCAAATTAGCACATAAACTGACACCTCGGACTGATGATACGGAAAAGCGATGATTGTTTTCAACGATATAGGCAATATCGTTAGCGCCATTAGCAGCCACGTCAGTTTCTGATTGGCTGAGATTGCCAGTAATCGTCTGACATCAGAATGTGTGAATTAAACTGAAGATTTGCCATATTATTGGTAACGAGGGTAACACACATCTACATCGGCACCAGCAGCGACAGATTATGATTAGCAGGAATCACCACCGAAAACCAGACTTCAAGAGAGCCAGATGGCGGCGGAAAGCAGTCATCATTGCCTCAACAATAGTGTGGGTAGAATCAACATCGGTATCACCAACATTTTGCCCATATTACCAAAAAAAGATACTCCCAGTAAAACCATCGAAGGTGATGGTATTGTTATGCATCTGACACGCTACCATCCAAAAATCACATCAGCCGTAAAATCAACACGTCTTACGTGTCCCGTAATAATAACGAGGCAACGAGACTATCAGTAGCGTTGAAGAAGCCAATGGTAGCGATGGCAATTAAAGGCCAGATTTGATCCAAGCTTTGGACAGTAATCAAAGAGGACGCTTTTATATAAATGGGGGTCGACCCTCCTACTTTTGATGATGGAAATTTTGAATTTGATGCCCATGCTTTGTTGGACCAAACCCGAACCCTGCCAAACCCGTGCCAACCTCAGACTCCGAAGCTAAAACTCAACCCTATAAACCTAAATTCATGGTATTCACACATTCACACCCTCTTATCCTCATCAGCTTGCACTCGCCACGCTTGATAGACCCCAAGGACTCGATGAAAATTCACACGTACGAACTGGTCCTGAAACTGCACCGATTCTGGGTGCCAATCCTGGGGGCCCAGCTTCGAGTATGCCCTCTCCTTTTCCCTTTCGTGTATTAAATTTTTCTATTTTTAAAAACTCATTTTCAAAATCCCCCCACTCTTTTGACCCCAATTTGGAAACATTCTACCAGATTTATGATTCAACCGTGTCAGAAGCCAGTTCTGCCAGCAATTCGAGCAAGGGAGGGTCCTGTAGCCTATCTCTTGCTTGGATTGTAATTTGACCGGACCCATTCTCCTACCGACCCCATCTATGATGAGTTTGCACTCGAAAACCAGGCGGGGGCCACGTTCCCTACCGGAATTTTCGAGCATAAACAACTCTTTTACTGGATAAGCAAAATTTACCTTAGAATCAAGAACCAAAAGGCCTAGTAAAAAATAAGACAAAAAAGGGAAAAAATAAGGTTAGATGCCAAAGTTTTGTACTAACTCCACTTTAGTCTGTCCCAAGCTTGGGTAAAGGAGGAGAGTTGTGTTTAGGTAAGGCAGCTAATGCAAAACTCTGCCAAATCTTGTCATGAATCCTGAACCTATATTATATTCTTGTGCTAGGGCATTGGTATGGCCCTTGCTTGAGCAGAATGGTGGAACATGATTCATGTAGCCGACCCGGAATAGTTGGGATAAGGCTCGGATGACGATGATGATGATGATGAGATGCCAAATTTTGTACTACTTTAAACTTATGTTTCTCCCCCTTTGTTAACAGTAAACAAAATGAGATTCTCTACTCCCTCTACAATTTCTCCAAGGATGTGGCAAAGAAAGTTATTGAATACTAAATTATGAGGAAAATCTAAATCAGACTTTGCAAATATACCATTCAACATTTTTCATATCAACATTCAAGATAACTGAAAGAGGTCAGGATCATTACCTTCCATGAAAATTTAAAATAAACCTCTTATTGGCATGATGAGCATATATCAACTACCAACATGCACATCCAGTGTACTTTTCATTCCTACTTATCAATCATTTTCCAACTTGATTCTTGGTACAATAATACAAACCATGCTTATGCACTCAGTTTGTAGCTCCTAGAAGAGAACCATCATCTTAATTTTCTACATAACAAAGATTCTACTGTCACTGACTAACATTGAAAAGCATATTCCAGCTTTGAGTTTGCATAATACTAGTTTTTCTTATATAATTGTTTTTTGCAGTGGCTGACATCAACCATCAAATTAAGTTTGCATAATATCAATTTCACATAACATTATCATTAGCAGGCCCACTACAAGCGTGAAGAAGATATATCTGTATCACTCCTAAGACTCCATAATAATGGTTATGTGCAACCATTTAAATTTCACTTACCAGTCAATCTGAAGGATTTCATTACGCAGCTTTGCTAATGCAGCTGGGCTTAACCGAGGAATAATATCATCCTGAAGGAAATCATCAAATAATAGAAGTTAGATATGGTTTGTTACACAATATGAATGGGAGAAAGGACCACATTGAACTAATAAAAAAAGTGGAGAGTTAATGTGAATGTCAAAGCAAGAATTAAATTATCCAACTCACCTGCAGCACAACGGTGGAAACATAGCTCCGGCAGCTTTCAGCTAGTTCTTTTGATACACAAGGAGGAGTTCCAATTCCAACAGCTGATACAATGTCAGAAGAAAACCCTAGCTCCTTTTTCGATTTGTTCCTCAGCATAATTGCCAGTAACGATGCTGTTGCTCCTCCTAAGGAATGGCCCACCAACCTTAACCCAAAACCCTGCATATGAAACAGGTTCACTACAGAAATTATGTATTTATTGTAATAAGGAAGCACAAGAGAAGACAATTAGATGGGGCAATTTGTAGAACCTAGAAGCAATGAATCTTCAGGTTCCTACTGACCGGATGTTTCTCCAGACAGTTCCTGAGGGTATCTAACTCATTACAAAGAAACCAACGGGCAGCTTCAGCTGTTCCAAAGTGAGTTGAGAACTCTTCAAATGTAGCTTCCTGATGGCTTGAAGAAACCATGTCTGTGATAAGGTCATAAACAGTGTGGGTTCCACGAATCCCAAGAACCACTAATTTGTTACGTGTATCCGTCCCAATATAATAGCCAGGCCTCATCACGCTGGAATCTTTAACAAATTTCAAGACATTTTTTTCTCGAAGCATGCTGTTTCGTGCAAGCCCTGCAGCATTTCCCTTGTATGCCACCTTGGCCAATTCAGTGTGGTAGATAAGGTCTTGAACCTAAACACAAAAGATCATTGAGGAAATTCAGATTCGCTCTCCAATTCTATCTACTATTATCTACAATAAATATATAAGTTGCCACATCCATGTTCCTTGAATCTTACAGAACAACTTGAAAACCCCAAACCTTTACCAAGTATATGTATCAAAATCCTTTGTATCCATAAAGTGATTTTAAATTCTTATTTCTTAACAATCGGAGTGTTTGGTTTTCTGAAAGTAAATTGCAGCAAGAAGTTCAGTCATGCACTGCGAAGGTCCATATAACTTTTAAACCATTTTAAACTCCAATTAGAATGGGGGAAAGAGGGAAGATTTCAATCATCAGTTTCTAAATGTTTTATTTATTTTTTTTGAACTCTAACTGTTAGTAGTGAGTTAGAAATTTTTGAAGCTGTTAGTAGTTTTCGAAAGGGGTTAGCATTGGTAGGAATGGAAACCTAGATCGGTAGCTGAGTCATAGGAGGTGCTACCACCTTGACCTCAACCCCATTCCTTCAGTTTCTATATGTTTATCTGGAAAATACATATACTCTACCACATGAACGACTTTCAAGGTTTAACAGTGCTCACCATATAGTCAGAAGAGATCTGTACACACTTAACATCCTCAATTTTATTGGTTGAGGCTTGTCGAAGATAGATGAGGTATAGGCCCACTGCAAGATCACCGAGGCTCCAATCTTGAATGCCTTTTTTACTTCGGTGAAGGCTTGCAATGATCTCTGCAAAGGATCGACTGCCAGCATTTTGTTGTACATCATTATCCCCTATAAATGCAAGTTTTCAGTCAGTAAGGACAGGAAGCCTAAGTTTATTGAAGCCTGCATATTCCAGGCAATGGAAAAGCACAGCAGTTCTTTTTCCTATTATCTCTTTCATTTTTGACGGGTACGCTGGATTCCTGGATTCGAACACACGACCTCAAGGTTGTAACAACAGCCTTCCATTGGAGCTATGGGTTCAAACCAATTAACTAGCAGCTTTTTCCTAAGGGTCTTTGAGCGAAAATAGTGGTCACAAGTAATACTGTAGTAAACATGCCAAAATAAAACACAAACACATTGTGCATTATGAGTAAATTATAATATTTCCTATTTTAACAAATGATTTAATAACTCAAGTGGTATGGTATATAAAAAATTTGACAAGGATGAAAAAGACTAGAACAAACTCAAACATACTGTCATGACTCTTTTTTCTATAAGCTATATATAATTATTAATACATTTTGATTCAAGATATCAGCCATATTAACTGTTTCCCCAGAAGGTATTAGAAATAGTAACTGAGAAATAGCCCTCTCTGGGATTATAAAAGAAAATAGTCCTCTATGGGTTCTGTACTAAACAGATGCACTTCTCAAGAGTTCAGCAGATGCCCAGATAGCAATTGAATCCCATAAAGAAACTACAAATCTAAAAGCAATGAGAAAGAGAAAGACCATTCAAATTCCAGAGGAAATCCTTGGCCTCTACCGCCATGGGGTCAACTAATCCTCTAAAAACTCCTTATTCTCCTCCCAAAACCATCCTTATTCTCCTCAAAGTGAAATTCTGTACCTTGCACCAAACTGTGAGAGAGAGAGAGGGACGGACGGACAGACGGAAGGATGGAGACAGAGAAATGAAGCCTAAGAACCCTGAGGAGGGCACTGAAATTATGGGGTCCCTTGGGGGCCTCTACATAAAGACTCCAAATAAACATTAAACAGATAATTAATTCCTTGAGTAAGTCATGAATGATTTATCATAAAGTTGCACTTGTAGAAGACCCAAAAATAAAAGGAAAAGGACTAGTAGAAGCTATAAGGCTCCAAGTATAAACATAGAACCAAAAATCGTGTACAAATGTATACATGCTTCCAGTTATTGGTTGAATGGAACCATTTCTCTCTCATAAATCATGAGCAGCTCTAGAGGAATTTCATTTCCTTTCTGTTCATACCAAGTTTCTTCTCCCCTATATGCATTTTCATTGCGTCATGAGGCTTTCAATTAGAGAATTGTTCAGCACCAAAGTTTACAAATCAAGTGTCACACTTGAGATGTTTTCACTTCTTTTGAGAAAATTCCAGGGATGACAATTATATTCTGGCAACAATTATCCAAGAAGATCCATAAATTCTTACAGCAAACTATTTTCTTTCAGTGGTTAGGACTATTGTATTGAACAGGACTGAAAAGCAAGGAAAGGTGTGCAAAGCAACATTTACAAACCACATGTTCAAAACTAAATATAACATAAGAATTAAAGAGATAATAAAACTCATGCAAGCATCAATAATTCCCGGAAGCATTTCCTATTATTACTGAATGCTGAATATAGAGATATAATTAAAGTAGGTTTCCTCCATGGTAGCTGTGCCAGTCTTCAACGATATCATGAATTTTGGTAAGTAGAGTGGGAAGACATATGAAACCATGGAATGTAAATGTATCCATTCTAATTCTTTATCTATCTAATCTTGAATTTTCCTGCTCCGATGGATGCAAACATGGAACATGATCTCCTCCAAACAACAAAATCTGGGCTGGCACATTACACTATAGATAACTTTGCACAATCATTCCTCCCCAAGTTGTTATAAGTCTAATTTCCATTGCAATCATATCGCACCCAAGAAAATCAATGTCCAAAAGATATTTCATGAAAATGTTTTCATAACTATGACTCTTCGACAAAGAAATGCATATACAACTTCCTACATAGCAGATACATGACCTAGAAATCTTAGGACTTATGAGATAAAAAACAGATATACATAGAAAAGATATTAAGGAAGTAGCACCACATAACCTTGCATAAGTTGATTTTTTCACTACAGATATTACACACCATGCTTTAGATCTCCATTCATCATCAATTCTGTTTCTCTATTGCATTCTATTTCAAAAGCAAGTAAAGTTTGTAGTAAGGAAAATGATAGACCTGCTGGCAAAGCCCACCTATACAACTGCAAAGCAGGTTCTAGAGCTCGGGTTAGCCACGCAAGCTCCAGTCTCCATTTTCTTTCATTTATCTCATCATCAGAAGCCAGTTTGACAGGAGGTTTTTCCTGATTTTTCTTATTATCACTTGTCTTCGGTCTCATAACAACATGATTTTCATCTTTTCGTTCATTATCATCTGCACCCATTTTCTCTGGTTTAGATGACTGCAGGTAACGTTGTGCGATAACACTACACAAATATTGTTGATAGGTCTCCAGACGTCCCTTTATCAAGCTCAGACTAGAATCTGTATGGAATGGCCACCACCATTAACAAAACAAAACAAAAAAAGGAGAATGGGAAAAGTATGCCTAGAGGATAAAACAAGAAGAAACAAGCGAAATGACCAGGTATAGTTCAGAATTTGATCTCCATAGTCGCCATAGACAAGATATCATTTTCTTCACAAACATATTATTCAAGTGTAAGGTCGCCTACATACTTTTGCTTTATAATGCAAGCTACCAACTCCATAAATGATCACAAAACAAGAGAATAATATTGCTAAAATTGTGAAACTTAAAAAATTAAACCAGAAATCAATGATTTGCATAATTAGTGATTTAAAAGAGGGTGACTCGGATCAGGCATCGCAATAACCTGGTCCAGATCGGTGAATTGGCAGTCCGGATCGCCATTTTACTGTGCGGAAAAAATAGTGAACCGGCAAAAAACCACGTGCAAAAATAGTGAACCGGCCAAGGACCAGTCCGGATCAGTGAATTAGATTTTTTTACTGTAGCAAAACGGCGTTTTTTCTGTAGAAAAATACCCCTTTTACTGTAGCAAATCGCCAGTTCTCTTCTAGACCCGAACGATTTCTTATATATTGACATAATCGGCATGGGATGACCTATGCCCGGGTTGAATCGGACGATTCCATGCCAACACAACGTTTTTTAAATCATTGCTCATCATCATAGACAATAGTGATAACTCATTTCTATTTCTTCTCTGCAAATTGTAAAAATCACATAAAGATAATCCTTCAAAACATTTTGTTGAGTATTAGAAGTAGTTCTCTAACGTAACATACATCATATCACAATGAATGACATAAATTTGCAATAAAGGTTGTTCAAGAAAGATGGAAAGATTTACACTGAACTCAATTTTCTTAAATGAAGAAATGATGAGAATTTCTTCCTTTAGTACTATTACCCCGAGAATTTGGATTTCAGGCCATAACGCAAAAATATGGCAAAAATATGCCATAACCCAAATACTGATAAGAATTTCACCCATATGGCTGCTTTGAAAGAATATTATGTATCACCGATTAGCAATAGGAATTGTTATGAGCTCCAATTATGACATGCCACTGAAGTACTTGGTTGCCTCCATTTACATAAACAAGCAACCGAACATAAACTTACCCAAAAAAATATCATGATAAAAGCATATTATGTATCAATGATTAGCAATGGGAATAGTTATGGGCTCCATTTAAGACATACCACTAAAGAACGTGGTTGCCTCCATTTACATAAACAAGCAACCAAACATAAACTTACCCAAAAAAAAATCATTCTAAAAACATCAATATCTGTTCTTAGACTGAAAGTGGAGAAGTTGTTACACTTATTAAATAAATAACACGATTTCTATGCGGCCAGCCCACATATTGTAGAAATACGGGTTTAGTAATAAATATATTTTAAAATATATTTTGATCCTAATTTTAGAGAATATACCATCTTTACCATGGAGATCATGAATATGAAAAAAAAGAAAAATTTAAAGCTAGAAATAATAATTATATTAAGAAAACATTTGGACCGTTTTTTACAATTGTTTTAGATGGACCATGTATTTGCATCCATCTTTAAGATGGATGCTTTATACCTCCCCACTGCATATTGTAGAAATGCGGTCCAGCCTGCATGAAACAATTTTTCTTAAATAAAACACCCTAGTCCATTCCCACCCTTTTAAAGAAAAGATAAAAAAAGGATTCTATCAGTAAAAAAACATAAGAATTGGATACCAAGCAATCTACATTAACACACAATTTCCACTGAAGAAGCCAACACCACATTGAAACTTCAAATAGGAGAAAAGATAATTAAAATACAAGTTAGCATACACCCATCCATCTTTCTAATAATTAAGAAGATAGCATGATCCAATTATTACATTAAGAAGATGGCAAACATAAGGGTAAAGAAAATATCTGCATAAAATGCAATAATAAGAAGAAACAAATGTACACAGAGAGAGACTTACCGAGTTGGAAAAGGCGCTTCAACGGACGATGGTTCGCCATTTTCTGTTCATCAAAATGAGCTTCTCTCTCTCTCTCTCTCTCTCTACATAGCAAAGAGAAGCTCGTTTCCCTCAATTTTCAGAATAGGAATTGCTCCGCTTAATAAATAGATTGTGGAAGAGCGTTTGCTTTATTTGAAATTTTTTACTGAAACTTTGAAAAGATTGGGATTCTTGGAAAATTGTTTCATGCGGGGCTGGACCACATTTCTACATGTGCGGTCCAGAAAGTGTAAAGCATCCATCTTCAAGATGGATGCAAGTAGGTGTTCCATTTAGAATGGAATAGAAACTGACGGTCCAAATGTTTTTTTACTAGAATTATTATTTTAAATTTTTAAAATTTATCTATTTTTTCATATTCATGATCTCTATATGAAAGATTAAATCTTAAAAATTAAGTCTAAAAATCTATCTCAATAACAAATTTATTAAGAGGTCCGCATTTCTACGTATGAGGGTTTGGCAGCATAGAAACCGGGTCTTGTGCTATTTTTGGATACACAAGGGTCATCGGATCCTTTTACTTCTCTCTTACATGAGATTTCACTCACATTTATTGATGCTAGATTTGATAAAAGATTCTGTGCTCCCGCGTGAGCATACCCTCTCTTACTTTCTTTGGTGAATTTTAATCTAAGAAAAATTGATGGACTCCAATATGGCGATGCAACTCTTTTTAATCTAATAACTAAAAAGGAAACAAAATTAAATTGAAATCTTATTAAGAAAAGAATGTCAAACTGTGCAATATTTAGAGACTTAATTAGTGAATAACTTAAAATCTATTTTTACATTTTTAAGTTAATCATCTGGTCATTTTTTTTATTTGGATACCAAAATTTTCGATATAAGGTTGCAACTTTGTTTGTAGAAATAAAGTTGTCGTAATCTACATACATTTTATTTTGTTTGTAGAAATAAAGTTGCAATAATCTATATGGTACATTTTATTTGAATTATCTAGATTGAACATTATTTTCAAGACATGTCATGTATTGATAATGTCATAAAAGACATCAAATTTACATCATTCAAATAAAATGGATAGCATAGTATATCGCAACTTTATTTCTACAAATCAAGTTGCAACCTTATACCAACCATACCCTTATAAAAAACTTCCTGGCAATTTATTTGCCTGGGCATGTAAGTGCACAGTATACTATCCTATGAGCAACGAATTCATTACATTTTGGAAGTACAATCTTTGTACCCCTAGCTTTAAGTCAGCTAGTTTATCTATACCAAATTATTAAGCCAGAGTTAAAGGGTGGACACGTGCGTGAAAATAAGGAGTCTTAATTCTAAAGAGATTGTGAAACACATTGATTGTGAGACCCATTTTCATCATAATGAGACATATTCCCATCTATAGAATGGAGAGGGATAGGGTGCACACTTATTTTAGGATAACCGAATTTGAGAGAGAGATAGCATAATTTGTATAAAACCGATCATTATTTAAAGGGTTATTTTCCATAAGGCTGATGCCCTAAACAATCAAAGTAAGGTGTGCCTTGAAATAGTATCGAAAGATATCATTTCGACACAAAAAATCTTTTATGATGGGTTGAAAATTTATTTTTATCACTAATTATAGAATTTCTAGCTTCAAAAATAATGCATATCAAGCAAATCTATGAACACTTGAAAATCGATTGTCATAATAATGTATTATAAGATGCACAAATCTTTTAGACATGAAGTCCTTTTTTTTTCCTTATGTCCATGCATCTCAAGGTCAAAATGATTGGATTTGAGGGTTTCTCAGCATCGAAACAATTTCTTCTACCAGTTTTTGAGATGTGCCTTAATTTGATTGTTTAGAACCTTAGCCTTATATAAACTTTTTGTTTATCTAAAATATCTTTGTTTCCTTTTAAACAATAAGTCACGATTTATTAAGATAGTTTTGGCAAGAAAGATCCTATCAAGGATAATGCGTATGGATAAACTCCAAAAAACGGTAAAGAGAGAGATATCAAGAGAGGTAAACTCCTAAAAATTAAATATTTTAGTTTTTTAGATTGAGAGATTCTAAAACAGATGAAAGGGGAGAGAGACATAGAGGCGTGGAGATAGAGAGAGAATACGTGTAGAAACAAAAAAAATTTGAAGGGACCCACCAAACGTTTTGGACCTTTCGGAAATAGGACTTGTTGCTATTCCTTGGCCACATTGGTTTTAACATTGTCCTTAGCCACAGTTATAATAGCATCCTCCTTCTTTAGTGGCAAAGCATCATCTTCAATATTAACTGAGATAAAAAAGGATTGTAGCACTGAATTAGGAATATCAAGACCAGCAATTCCCCTGATCTTAACTCTAATTGAAGTCCGGTCCTTCCCCAAGAAAGAGTCCTAGTCTACATCGCAGTGGTCACCAAAACAATTAGCACTCGGTTGAATAATCTTCAAACTCCAAGCATGAAAGGGAATGGCACTAAAATTAACTCAAAGAATCTCGTTTTGAACAAAAGAGTCATGAATTTTGGGAGACCATTGATCAAAGATAGCAATTTACCTCTAACCCTAAGACATATGTTACTCATAGCTCTTCTGACCTCCTCCTCCTCACATAGCATAAAAGCCACCTTATTAAAACCAATCACTTTTACCCTGAGTCATATAGTAGGCCCCAACTGAATGAAAGACCTATGTGATCGTTTACCGAAAAAAAACTTTCTTCTTTTTTATATCACCCTTTTTTGTTTGGTAAAATATCACTTACAGGTGGTCTATTACAACAACATATGCTTCAAAATAAAATCAACATGGCAATAAAACCAAGATTTTAAAACTTGATGCCATTGAAATAACTATACATTATGTTTGAGAATAAAAAAAAATATGACTGCAAGAAATAAAAGAGAAGAGTGTCGGAGATTACCTCAATCGGGGTTATTACACCCCATATCGAGTTACCACCATCCGATGGCGCAGGATCGACTATCTTACTTCAATCTCAAACTGGGAAACAAATTTAAGTCAAGCCACACCAATAGAACATGAACCCCTTTGATCACAAACTCAAACCCTAAGTGAATTCTCTTAGTAACCTAGTTTAAGAGATATGGATTCTCTTTTTGTCAACCCTAAAAACCCTTAGCTATAAATCCATAGTTGAGAGATGGGAGAGAGAAGAACTCCATAGCCTAGTCCCTTAGCCCCTTTTCACAATGTGGGAGAGAGAAAGATATCAAACATGAGAGAGAGATATAAAGATAAGGTGTAGTGATTTTGGGTAGAGACAATCCATTTTTTATAGGCTTGAACAATATTAGGGTTTTTTAGGATTTTCCTTAGCTTGCCTCTTCTTGTGAGATTGAACATGAACCGTCGATCAAGGGTGACTTGTAGAGTGAAAGATCTAAGCCATAAATTCTATAGATGGGTCATCAACATTATGGAAGATGTATGAACCATTATCTCCCTTTCCTAAATCATTTTTCCATCAATAGAAAATAAATTAAATTAATTTTACATTAAATATTGTGCATTCCATAAAATAGCACATCTCTACACATATTTTTTATAAAATATATCAAAGATATATCAAGTCAATATCTATTTCCATATTAAGTCAATATATGGTCAATACATACTCAATCCATAATTTGACCACATGTCACAATTTAAAGTTACCAAAACATAAAGTCACATGGACCGCAAAACAAAACTTTCCATAAAATAGAAAGTAGTAAGAGGTGGGGCGTGCCACCGTCTTTGTAGGTCACCATCACACACAAGGAAACACAATCCCTCGGTTCACTCATTCGAGCACGTTCTCCAACCTCATCAATGGCTAATCCATGAACCATCATTAGTTTGTTCTTCATGCTCAGGTAACATGGGTTTTTTCCAGCCTAGTGGCCTATATCGTCAAGCACAGTCCGATATCTGTAAACATCATTTGCATGGTATGGTCCACGAGGGACCACACTCTCACTGAGTTCATGTTCCAATGTATCATTTCATTTTACAAGCACTCATAAGGTTTTTAAAGGCCACATAAACTCAACATCTCCCACTTGGCATTAAAGGTCTTACATTCTCTCATCATTACTTTCTGTCATCCCCATCTCTCTCTCCCGATTACAATATATCTTGCAAGCATTTTTCACTTATTATCTCTCAATAAATTAATCATGGCTTTCGCCATCAATCTTTTCACAAAAGGACTTATAGAGGTAACACGTTTTTTTTTTTTTGCTGCTAGGATCTCATCCCCAAAAGTGGTTGTAGTTCATCTTTCATATCGCATCGCAAATCATGGACCTATTGTCGCAGAAGATCATCATATACCCTCATCGCACAGGGTCATATGCTCATGTGCTCAAAGGAGTTCTTCAAACAAACTGCTCCCTTTTGTAGCCATATAATCAGCGTCATACGTTCCGGTTCCATGGGTGAACAACATTATAGTCTGTTGTTCCAGCTGGCCTGCCAAATACTAGAAGGTGCTCCCACTGAAATATTTAACTTATATAGATCTCGATCTTTTTCAATCTCACATCATTCCTCAAGTAATAGAAACACAGTTTTATATGCTTGGAGCTCTTATGGAATCGTAGCTCTTTTGACATGCATAACATCGTCATGTTGTCGTAGAAAATCTTTACTGCCTCACAACATACAGGGTGAACTTCAAGTCGATTAAGAAATTACGGCCTCCTTGGCCGCCAAACGACACACCACGTACTTTGCCTCCATGGTGGACAATTGCACCACATCATGTTTCTTTGATTTTTAAGAAATTGTACCCCGTCCAAGCATATCTAGATTTAGAATTCACATCATATGAATCCGTGAAATAGCTTGCACCTATATATCTGAATATCTAAGCAGCTAAAAGAAACGTGGGACTGTAGCAACTCCCACTCAATTATTGAACATATAACAAATATATATTCTCAACATTCTTATGCTTATATCATGAGGTAGTATAACAAGTTTCATGTTATATGTAATGTAGTGCATGGTGGTTTCACAATATGCAAAACCTTTGCATGTTGGTTTCATAATATGCAAAACCTTCCTGAATTATAAAAGTTCAACCATACTAGTCATCTTGGTACTAAATATATACAAATCAAGTTATCTAGTCAATATAACATGTGTCAAAGAAGCCTAACAAGATGACCTTCCTT